GGCCCACTTGACTTCACATTCCAGGATGTCTGGCTCTAGGTGAGTGATCACACCATTGTGATTATCTGGGTCATGAAGATCTTTTTTGTACAGTTCTTCTGTGTATTCTTGCCACCTCTTCTTAATATCTTCTGCTTCTGTTAGGTCCATACCATTTCTGTCCTTTATTGAGCCCATTTTTGCATGAAATGTTCCCTTGGTATCTCTAATTTTCTTGAAGAGATCTCTAGTCTTTTCCATTCTGTTGTTTTCCTCTATTTCTTTGCACTGATACCTGAGGAAGGCTTTCTTATCTCTCCTGGCTATTCTTTGGAACTCTGCATTCAAATGGGAATATCTTTCCTTTTCTCCTTTGCTTTTTGCTTTTCTTCTTTTCACAGCTATTTGTAAGCCCTCCTCAGACAACCATTTTGCTTTTTTGCATTTTTTTTCCATGGTGATGGTCTTGATCCCTGTCTCCTGTACAATGTCACAAACCTCACTGATATATAATTGATATATAATTGAGTGTAATTGTGTTATGAAGAAATTGGTTGTGGATTAAATACCTAGAGAAGAAAATAAATATGGGACAGGGAGAATGACCATATTTTCAGATTTGAAGCCTCACCAAAATCATAGAGTAAGTACCAGAAATGAAGATGAGAGATTTAAATACCTACTTCAATTTCAAGGAAGAGATACTGAACTTGTTTTTGTGTTTTTGCACAACTAGAGCAACTATGGTTCAGGATGCTTTGTAATGAACAGATGAGCTCTCTATCTTCAGAATTTTTCAAACTGAGTGATTACCAACCAAGGATTCTGAGGGTTGTAGGATATTAGGCTTGAAGAGTGAGGAAAGCAGGGCAGATGTCAAACTTAGGCCACTCAAATGCAAAATGAGTGGGAGAGTTTTACTTTGGCTGAACTGTCCTATTTAAACGTGAATGTGTGACTGCATGCTCAGTTGCATCCGACTCTTTATGGCCCCATGGACTGTAGCCCACCAGGTTCCTCTGTCCATGGAATTTTCCAGGCAAGGATACTGCAATGGGTTGCTATTTCCTCTTCCAGGGGATCTCCTCCATCCAGGGATGGAATCCACATCTCTTGTGTATCCTGCATTGGCAGGCGGATTCCTTACTACTGTGCTGCCTGGGAAGCCCCTGTTTAAATGACTGTAGCTGAATATGAGATTCTGTCTTTCCAATATTTTTGCTAGTAGAAATGTATGGACTTTTACAAAAGGAGAGTCTTAAGAGTTAGTAAGTTAAGTTTTAAATGTCATAAATTAGAAAAATGAAAAGTTGCTCCTGGTATGTTAACCTCTTTTCTGGTGCTATTATTGTTATTGTTTTTTAAAATTTCCCACACCATGAAATCCAAAAATAAAAGAAATTTAATATGGAGGTTTCCCTACTCTGGGAGTTTATAATCATTTTCTAAAATGAATCCAAGAAAATCTCCTTGTTAAAAATAAATACAGATATTAGATTTGTGTTAAACCAAGAGAAATAAACACTTTGGTTCTATACCACTCAATTAGACATACCCTCCTTTTTTTCTGCTCACTTTAGATTATTTGGAAGACTACTTCAAAAGAAATTCAAAAATAAAATAATCCTGGAGTCCCATATATACCTAATATTTAGAAAACTCATTTCTCNCCAACCTGGGCTGGTGATCTGTTTCACCCTAGATAATATACATGTTTCAATGCTATTCTCTTGAAACATCCCACCCTCGCCTTCTCCCAGAGTCCACAAGTCTGTTCTATACATCTGAGTCTCTTCTGCTCACTTTAGATTATTTGGAAGACTACCTCAAAAGAAATTCAAAAATAAAATAATCCTGGAGTCCCATATATACCTAATATTTAGAAAACTCATTTCTCAATTAATAAAAATGCCACCAAATGGCAATAATAGATTAAGCACTGGATATTAGGTATATTTGGTGTTGAGTTTCCCGAGAGGATTTTATTAATGAGACTATTCTACAGTGTTACTGCCAACAGACTTCATAATTAGGAAAACTTTGACATTAATGCACCGCTATATGAGTTGGAATTTTACACAAGAAAACATATAATCATAAGCAAATACATAAATACTTTAAAATACAGCTGAGCAGCCATCCTCTAAGGCATCTATTAAAAATGTGTACTGACTGCTGTTGCCCGTGGATTTTACTTTCAACTTGCTATTTCTAAATTCCACTATCTTTCCATATGCTCATAAACTTTTATTAGGCGGTGGTATTAAGAGACAGCAAATTGTTTTTTAAATGTTCTAAACCAGAAATACAAAAGGTAAAGCTTTGATTGTCTCTACGCTTGTTTATGTAATGGCTTTCAAAATGTCCCTTTTCTTTCAAAGAAGAAAAAGAACTAGAGAATTACAGGATTAATAAACTACCAACGTTTTCTCTTTTCCAGCTGTGAGCTTTATGGCTAAAGCACTTTGCAGTACCGGCAGTTACTGGCAGTTCCATTGCTTGCTTATACACACTCTCCTTAAAATGTGTGTGTGTGTATAACTTGTTGTGTATGTAAACTTTATGTGTATAAATTTAAGTGGATGTGAATTTATGTGTATAGAGTATCATATAAGCAAGCTACCATATAGTCAAACTATCTCATCCCTTGTAAGTTCAGATGAAAACGTCTTCCCATTCAGATTTACCATTTATCCTACAAAAAAGGTATTGTGCAAATATTTAAAAAGGTAAAGAAGACCAATATAACAAACTGAAACCTCTTTGACTTTTTAAGATAAACTGCTTTAAAGGTTGATTGGTACAATGGCACAAAAATTCAAAGTCACTTTTGCAATATGATATAATTGCTACTTACAAGCAAACTGAAGCTTTGCTTCTCTGCTAACAATTGTTCCAAACGAGTTTGTTGCTATGCACTGGTACATTCCAGCATCTTGGGTTTTATTGGGGTTATTGATCAACAAGCTGCCTTCAACAACACTGTAGCGGAAATCCATACCAATGTCAACATCTGTTCCGTTTAACTTCCACCTATAGTATAAAAATGCCAGTAGATAAAGCCTTGTAATATTAGACAATATTTCTGAATTGTCTAAAATATATATATATATAAACTACAAATAGCATAAAATATCATCTGTGACTTTTTCTTTTAACCATGGTAAAAAAAAAATAGAAAAGCTCTACATAGAAATGGTGTCAACACAAATGTTTATGAAATGAGCACATCCTTTTTAGGTAAACCGATATTAAAATTTTAACACCTGTTTTTATGACTGTTTACAGTGCTACAGACACTTCACTCCTTTTTTTCTTTTCTTTTTTTTTTTTTTGAAATTTCCTATAGCATCTTGTATAAGCATCTTCAAATAGCACTCCTCAGTAAAAGTTCTTTTTTCTGGTTTTCAGTCATTCTTTAATAGGTCTATAGAGATAACAGAATACCCCACTTTCGGGTAGTTGGCTGAGTATTTGATGAAATTGCAGCAGATTTGCTTTGACTTGGTCCTTAATATGACTGAAATGGTTGACTACAAAGTAGAGGAATTCTATTGATCTAGAGCTGTCTTAGGAACCAAACTAGCCTTAACCATGGATCACTTTGAAGATCTCCTTAGCTACCGGCACTCAAACATCAATCAACCAGCCCAGTGAACTGCAGATCAGGCCATTAGGTAACAGACACAAAGAGGGTTTTGCTGTTTTCCTGTTTGTTTACTCAGATCATCTGAATATGAGTACACGGTCTGGCCCAATAAATTAGTTTTAGTGGGACTCACACATTTAAACAGCAAAACTTTAGTAACAAAATCTACTTTTCTTTTCCTTTCTTTTTTTCTAAACAGCCAATAACATTCCAGAGAGAGCTTATTTTAACCAAAGGGCCTTTCAGTAAGTTGTTTTAATATGTACAAACTTTCAAAGTAATATAATACAATGACTATCCTGTTTTTTTTTCCTCTTCCTTCCCCACTATCCTACATAAAATATTGGCTTGACCAAAAAGTTCATTTGGGTTTTTCCGTAACAGCTTACAGAAGAGCCCGAATGGACTTTTTGGTTAAACCCAAATCAGGTAATGAAAACAGCATAGTCAGTATCTGAATTATCATCAATAGTTTCCTAGGAGCATTCATACTAGGGGACCAAAAATAAAGCAAGACTAGAGCACAAAGAAAATTGATCAGAAACAATAACAGGACTAAAGAGTGAGAAACAGTCATTTTATTTCCTTCAAACAAACAAATAAAAAATACAGTATTTAAATGTGTGCATATATATACATCTTCATTGTGCACCCTCTTATAACATTCTGGGGCACTAGGGCTGGCATGCATAGTGTAAAAGGATTTAAATGAAAAAAATGAAAGGTCAGTTACTTTCAGATTTTGGATACTGGTATTCAACAAAAAACATTAGGGTGAGTGCTTTTTTTCCACCAACATGTCTCTCACACTGCAATCTTAAACCACACTTTTTCTAATGAAGTCTTCCTCAATATCCTTCATCAAGATAAATCACAGCTTCCCCCAACCTCCTACAGAATTCTCCTTACTTGTTTAGGTGGGCATTCTGTCTTCACTTTAGATAGTTTGCCTGTATCACTTCTGTATTCTCCTGTCAGTCATTTAGAACTTGACACTCAATGTTCTCAATCAATAATTGTGGTATTTCACTAAATATTTTACTTCTTGGCTGGATATTTTAGCTGTGTGCACACACAACTTATGAAGCATCCTAGTCTACCACAGCATAGTGGTGTATGTTTGCTCATGTCTGTGTCTTTGAAAAGCGAAAATATAGAAACATGAGGGGTGGGGAAGGTGGACCTGATCGGGAAATGGGACATAACTCTATGCATTTGTTTATAAGAAGATGGGTATTAGAAATTGAAACTGTTCTTAAGCTTGACAGTAATTCTGTGTTCTGACACAGACAAGAAAGTAATAAGCAATAAAAAGAAAACAGCCAGGTTATATCCTAGCAGGTATATATGCTCATGAATCTCCAGAGCTGACTGCCTGCCCTAGATATTTTTTGAGTCAGCTGGTCACATCTCTATCATAACTCTCACTTCAAATGATACTTGAGCAATTTAATATGACAAATCTAAAAACTCAAAGAGGAAATTGCAATATAATGTGAGCCACAAGCAGAGTATGGAACTCAGGAATGAGACCACGTGAGTCTTTTTAGAAAAGTCTTTGTAGGGATAATGAGAACACCTCTGCGGGTCTGTCTACACTTGTCATCTCAACTGAAATGTTCTGTAGAAAGTCCATTAATCTACTTTATTACCCGCTTTTACGTACAATGCATTATTTAGAAAATAAAGCACTTGCTGTGAAATGCAGCTGAGTCTCCTTTACAAAGCCCTATACCAAGTTTTATTGCAATGCAGTCACTGTTCATTCCAATTGAATGTGGACTGCATTGAATTCCTTATCCTATTCCATACTGAAACAGTCTTGAAAAATTCACAATTTATTTTCAGTGTTTGAGAAGTCCTTTAAGAACTGGCCATAGAGAGGTATGCTCATTTGGCACACAGAGATTTTTCCCAAGGGCCAGGGCAAATGGGTGAGTCTCATAAGCTGATTTCTGCATCACTTGGGGAAACACAATGCCATCCTCTTTGGGGGTGGGGTGGGGGGGGTGGGGGCTCTGCACAACCAAACACTGTGAAGCTCTGGAAGGTATCATTTTTCAGACTTTAGTGGGAAGCTACCTATGGGATGTATTGTAGCAAAACATCCCTTTTCCTTTGTTCACTATTTCAAATTGGCAGCTAAGAAGGGGAAGGATCTTTCTGACTTGGAATCTGTAGTCTGCAAACCAAGCTGAATACTAACTTCACAGTAAAAGTACTTCCATCGAGTACTTGACCATCCTTTCCGACGGGAAAGGGAGGCTGAGAGCCATACGTAATGTCACATGTCCTTGGGGAACTTTAATACAAGGCAAGTGTTCACAAGTCAAAACTCCTTAAGTTTTTCTGGGTCTGAGTCAACCCTTTCAAAACTGAGGGGCAGGAAACAGTGAAAAGACAAGGCTCTGTTCACGGAGTAAACACAAAGAAGAGAGGTCAATCTAGGTGCTTGAGGGAAGAACCTAATGGCGAAGACCCCCATGGAGAAATCACCTTGAATTTCTCCTATGAACTTCTCCCCCTCAAAGTCAGCCTGAACCCAGATAAAGTTCAGCCAGAAAGATGTTGAAAATATCTGATCTCGCCATTCTATCTCTTGCTCTTCCCTTCCACAAAAGGGAGATTTTTAGCTCCTAGGTACCAATGAGCTATTATTTCATGAGAAACTGCCAGAAGTATAATAGAGGAAAAGAAAGTACACTGTAACCAATTCCTAGTGCATGTAATTAAAACTTTTCTTCTCAGTGTTTCCCAGCAATCTTTAAAAACATAATAGATTTCTGTTCCTCTGATTGTTTTAAATAACAAAGCAAGCCCTAATATCTAGAAGCACAATGTTACAAAGGCAGTGTTAATTAAAGGTCACAGTGTGGGGAGAAGTAAAGCATCAACTTGCCAAATTCTGCTGCAAATTTTGTTTTCATTTACTGCTCACATTTGAACTTACACTTGGCGATGTACTAAAAAACTGGGGGCCATTACATCATCATTTATGTGTGTAGGAACCTTTCCCTCTTGCAGTTATTTATTTATTTATTTTTACTACATAAAGCATTAAAAAACTATTTGATATAGCTTTGAATTTAGCTTCATATAGGGAGAATAACTACATATCCTGATTTGTCCAGGGAAGTTCTGGGTATACACTTATTGTCCTAGATAATTATTAACAATAGCCTTTCGCTCTCGTAAGTGTCCTGGTTAGGATGATAAAATACATGTTTATCCTAATTATATGGACTATTGGAGAGGGCTTTTTTTTCTTTCTAGAATATACTTCCTTTTTCCATCCCTATGACAAAAGGTCATTTGCCCTAAATTCAGTTAAGTATCTCCTTTTCTGGGAAACTTTTATTGCTATCCTCCCTCTCTACCCTGAAGCAGACCTTCTTCCCTCATGATACCCTAGAACCTGGACATCCTTTTCTCACACTTAACCTTGTACTTCCTTCCCTAGGCACTCACCACCAAAGTATACTGCTTGAACATGTAGTTTATTCAGCTTTGAATTCTTCAAACCTAGCATGATACTGGAACATTGCAGCTGCTTAATATGGTGGTTTAAACACCTTTCCTAAAGGATGTATTTTTTAAAATCCTAATATACACCCTAGTTCAAAGCAGAACTACTGTGAAGGAATCTTGTTTGGAAACCCAACATAATTCAGCCAGGGTCATTCCTGAGTCAACTCCATGGACTAGACTCCAGTCTGAAAAATCAGTGGAATGGTCCAATGAATAATGCTGTTTGATGAATAAATGAATTGGCACACAAACTAAATTGTAAAATAATTTCTACTCTGTTAATGCCACCATCCTTCCAATTTGAAAACTATCTACCTCAGTTCAAATTCTACTTCTTCTATAACTCTTGGATGATTCCAATCTCTTCTTCCCCTAAACTGTGATACACATGCCATATATTCTTGTGGTTTTCACATACTACCACATATATTGATTATTAGCTTAAGGTTTTTATCATTAAATGTGAACAGAGACAAAATTATATTTATAAGATATTTAGAAAGACCTCTAAGACAAAGAATATTATTACTTTTGAAGTCTCCTATTGCCATTTTCATTCCAATCATTTCCCTCTCAGTGGTTCATGATAATTCCGAATTTTGCTATTTCATTCTTTTGATTTTCTTTATGATTTTATCATGTATGCTAGTATCCTTAAACAACTACTCTATCTTACCTGCTTTGGAACTTAATAAATACAGGATTATACTCTGTATTCTTCTATGACTTGCTTTGTTGACTCAATGTTATGTTCCTATGATAGTGTTGTAGTTCTAGTTCATTCATTTTCACTACTTCATTGGGTTACCTTGTGTGAACACGCCAAGTTATATTCAGTATGTTACTTACGCTAAATTTGTTCTTGCAAATTTCTGTCAAACTGATGAGTTTGAAAGAGTCTATCATTTTAGTTTTAATTTATACATTTCTGTTTACTAATGGGGCTATTTATTCCCTGGTGGGTATAGGGTAAAGAATCCACATGCAATGCAGGAGACCTGGGTGTGATCCCTGGAGGAGGGTAACTCACTCCAGTATTCTTGCTTGGAGAATACCCATGGACAAGAAGCCTGGCAGGCTACAGTCCACGGGGCCGCAAAGAGTTGGACATGACTGACTAAGCACACACAGGGCACATTTACTAATGGTAATCTTATTGTGTGTTTAATGGATATTTAATAGCCTTTTCTAGGAAGTACCTGATCAAGTCTTTTGGTAACGTTTTAATTAGGTTACATGTCTGTTATCTTTTGATTTTTAGGAATTCTTTAAATAGTTTAGACTTTATAAATAATAAGTATCACAAATATCTTCTCCCAGTTGGAAGCTTATAATTTTACTCATCCCAGTATATTCTACTGAATAGCAATTTTTAACATTAGTGAAGTTAAATATTTTCTTCTATCATTTGTTCTTTTTGGTTATAACTGAATTTTTTTCTTCCCTCTAAAGTCTTAAATATGCATGCCTATTTCCTTTGAAACATTTTGCAAATTTCGCATGTTGGTCTTCTCTTCACTGGGAATTGACCCTTGTGTATGCTGTGAGGTAGGGATCCAACTTTAGCTCATTTTTATAACCGTACAGATTCCACTGTGTAGTATATATCTTTTCAATTTATTTCTAATATTGTCATGACTTTTAAATTTTCTCTTTTAATCTTCACAAGATAGTATGCTTTTACTATTTTTGTTGTTTAGTGCAATTGGTTTTTATGTGGAAAATACTAACCTTTACCATTTGCTTTACTTATCATTCACTCTTATAGCTAAAGGCAGTCTACCTGGGATTATTTTCATTCTGTTTAAAGTATATCTTTCAGAATTTTCTTTAGGCAGGGTCTGCTGGAGTCAAACTTCAGTTTCTGTCTACCTAAAAATTCATTTACTTTGTCCTACTTTATAAAAAGTATTTCTGTTATATAAAAATTTTATAGTTAATTTCTCTCAGCATATTGAAGATTCTGTCTTCTCTTTTGCTTTTTTTGTTGCTATTGAGAAGTCAGCTGCTGGTTTAACTGTCATCTCTTTGAAAGTTAGCTGTATTACAACTGTGGCCTACATTTACGATCATATCTTCAAGTTAAGTGTTTTTCTGTTTCACCATGATAACTCTATATAGGGCTTTATTTTTGTTTGCACTCCTTGAAATTCATTAGGTTTACTAAATCTGTAGATTTGAATGTTTAATTAGCTTTGGAAAATTCTTAGTTTTCTTCTTAAATAATGCTTCTGCCTCATTTTTTTTCCATTCCTTATGGAATTTTGATACGTGAATGTTTTCACTTAATCTCTTCTCTGTCACATTTTGCTCCTCTTTATCTGCTGCTTCTAGACAATTTCTTCAGATATGTCTTGCACTTTACTAATTCTCTTTTCAGCTGTGCTTCATCTGTTACTAAAATCATGCAGCACCAAGGTTTGAAATAGGTGATCACTTTTTGCTTTTCAGTCCTTTGGGTGGCAAGGCTACATCTTTTACATTCACCGTATGATTATATCCCTTGAATTCCAAGTGTATTCTGGAAGGTTTTCTCATGTTAGATTCTCCAGCTGGTTGAGGCTGGGCCTTGTCTTGTGACCCTAGTCCCCTGTGAAACTATAAAATCCAAAGCTGCAATTCACATAGTCCATTAAGATGAAAAATGATTTTAGTGTTCAGTTTGCTTCTTTGGGTTCCAGATCAATTACTAAACATTCCTTACTTTCCTGACAGTTTATTGATGCATTTTTAAAAGGTGTTTTAAAAAAATATGTTAAGTGATGCTAAGGCTTTCAGTGAAATGGTCAATCAGGATATTTAATTTCTAGTATTGACAGAAACAAAGTTGGGTACTAAACTGTTCATGAACATGAGCGTCTCTTTAGCATCTCAGGATATCCAACGATGTCTGTCTAAAAGCTCTTTATGTAACTAGCACTCCTTAAGTATTTGCTGGTTTTACTAATAGAAAGTGTATGCATGGAAACACATGTTTTTAAGTCAACAAACCTGATGTGAGGTTTCGGATTCCCTTTAACTTCACAAGTGAGCTTCACTTTTTTCTCCTCAGAGTCTAAAGGGAACATTACATGACTTGGTTCTTGAATGAAAATTGGACCATGCAGTGTGTAGTCATCTGAAATGAGAAAAGAAAATGTCCTGAAATGAACATATTCCTGATAGGGAGAATTACAGGAAATAACAACAAAATAAAAATAAAAGAGGTAAACAAACAAAAAATAGTAATACACAACAGATTCAGTCCAGCCTCTGGATGACATTTCCTATTGAAGAGTAATCTTTGTGAATTATGAAGCAGTAATATGAACTCTCGTATTTCATACTGATGACTTATTTTTCCCACAAATTCGAGAACCAGAACGGCTTGGCATTCCCTTTTCTCTTCTCCACTTCTTACTGTTCTATCTGACCTTAGTCCAGCCTCTGATTTTGTTCACATTTTGTGCCTCCTACATGCTTTTGTGCGGCTCTCATCCTGGAAGGCTGTCTAATGTCACAAAGTTAAAATGTTTCTCCTCTGTAATGGGATAACATAGTTGGAAGTAAGCAATAGTGATTTTGTAAATACATTAATAATGAGAAGCATCAGTATACTGCTAAAATATGTATAAAACTTTTAGAAATTGCATACGTAGGTAAATAAACAATAACCTAGAATCATGGTGCTCAAATTATGCTTGGTAAATGAATAGTTTTTTTTTTAACCTGTTATGAACCAATACATGGGGGTACTTGTGTACATATCACACAGTGGGAACTGACTCAGTACACAAGTTCAGTTACAGTCAGATTAGTCTATTTCAACTTCAAGGAGGCTTGAGTATATTAATACAAATGAGGTATGAATTTCCAAATTCTCCATAACAGAAGCAAGATGCACAAAACTTATTGTCATAGAGCTGCAAAGTTCGAAGAAAGGAATAATCAACAAACAAGATTTGAAGCAACAATGTAGTGTGCATAAACTTCTAAAGCAAACACCTAAATAAATATTGGTCAAAACACACCTCATCACTGAAACCTTGCACAAGGCCTTGTGTTCTCATCTTTTGAAGTAAGAGCCTGTGTGCATCCATGTTCAGTCATGCCCAGGGACTGTAGCCCACCAGGCTCCTCTGTCCATGGGATTTCCCAGGCAAGAACACTGGAGTGGGTTGCCATTCCCTTTTCCAGGGGATCTTCCCAATCCAGGGACAAAACCCACATCTCTTGCATTTGCTGCTTTGAAAGGCAAGTTGTTTATTCACCTGTACCACCTCTGCCTGCCAGTGAGGGAGATGCAACAGACATGGGCTTGATTCCTAGGTCAGGAAGATCCCCTGAAGCAGGGTATGGCAACCCACTCCAGTATTCTTGCCTGGGAAATCCCATGGACAGAGGAGCCTGGCCATTTAAAATCCATAGGGTAATAAAGAATCAGACACAACTGAAGTTACTTAGCATGCATGCACATACATGACTCAACAGTTAATGATTGAGAAACATGAAGATATAGAAAGAGAACAGCTGTTGGTCTGGGGAACTGGTAACAATCCAGATTATACAGCTGCTACACAACAAAGTCATTGAACTTCCAGTTTCCTTAAAGATATAGACAAAGACTGGACACTCATTCCAAGTTGTTTTTACAAGAAGCAGACTCCTCCTAGATGAAAACTACAAAAACAAGACCCTAGACGGGATCAAATCAGAAAGTTGATGAAGTTTGGAACTTCACCTCGATGCCAACCAGTTCCAGGATTGTCCATGAGTTGATCATACCCTGTTGCTTGAACACTATGAAACTCCTCACTACCCCTCCGGTGGGCGGGGAGGGTCACACAATTTTGAAGGCATTAGCCTGTTGCGGCCGCTTTGGCCTGGCAAAACATTAAAACTCATATTTTGTGCCTCCTACCTGACTTTTGTGCTTCTGTCACCCTGGAAGCCTGTCTACTGTCACAAAGTTAAAACATCTCTGCTCTGTTAAGGGGATATCATAGTTGAAAGCAAACAATAATTTTGTAGATATATTAATAATGAGAAGCAACAGTGTACTTAGTCTCTATGTTCCTATTCTGCACTGATAAACAGGGTTTCAGCAACACTACCCATACCAGGAAAATGGCTTTCATTCTTTACAATCTCATTTTTTTTTTTCCTAGAAGGCTTTTCTAGACCCTCAGGTCTTCCTCTAACCACATGATTTATAAATTATCTCTTGGTGGACACATCTTTGTCTATTACATGCATTTGGATCTTTCTTTCCCCTTCTTTGGGCTGTAAGCTCCTGGACAGCATGGCTGTATCTTATCCATTTCTGCTTGTTTTGTGGTACCAACTACACTAGCTTAAACATCAAACATGGTCCAAAAGAACCGTTCTATTTGAAGTATTTTTCACTTTTTAATGTTCAGCTGGTCGATTTAGGCACTGCTTAACAAATTTTGAGACAGAAGGGCCAGTGGCTATGATGTAAAGTGATACTGAATAGCACCCTGTAGCTCGCAATCCGCTTTCCCCTTATATGTGATTATTTGGATGGATGTGAACTACAACTGTGGTCCTGGAAAACCTTAATAACCAGCCTTCTGTTGATAGGTGATAGGATGAGACTGAATTCATTCAGGTGAACCAGGACTGAGGAAAAAGAAGAAAGCAGATTTGGGGATCAAGGTGAAATATGATAAGGTGATTTCTTTTAATGCTTTTAATCCAGGCTTTAAAACTTCACATGTTGAGGTTAGGGTAGAAGAAAAATTAAGGACTCAAGAAAAGCAAACTGAATGGTATTTTATTTTAGAGGAATAGGGACAGCCTCTGACCTTGTTGAGAGAACAAGCAGAATATGGATTCAGAAAGACTAGGAACCGAGATTCAATGCCTTTTGTCAGCTAACTCTATGAACTATGGAGGATCACCTAGTTCAATCTTCAAGCAGGAGGATCACCTGCTTCAATCTTCTCATCTATAAAATAATAGCACTGGACTCAGTCAGTGCTTCTACACCAGTTCGGATGAGGAAGAAGTCATGAATATCCTTCCATAAATGCAGATGCACATGACATCCACATTCAAAGATGCCATGAATTATATCACCACCACCATCCTCTCTCCTTTGTCCATGTAGAAAATCTCATGCTAATGAGAGATTCAAACAGTGAAAATAGAATTTTTCAAAGAACACATAACAAAAGCATGGAATAAAAGTAAGCAAACATGTATCTTTCTAAACACTCATGGTTAAAAGTCAGATATTTCAAAATCTACATATTTACATTTCAGATTTTCAACAATGACGTGTTGAGGTTAGGGTAGAAGAAAAATTAAGGACTCAAGAAAAGCAAACTGAATGGTATTTTATTTTAGAGGAATAGGGACAGCCTCTGACCTTGTTGAGAGAACAAGCAGAATATGGATTCAGAAAGACTAGGAACCGAGATTCAATGCCTTTTGTCAGCTAACTCTATGAACTATGGAGGATCACCTAGTTCAATCTTCAAGCAGGAGGATCACCTGCTTCAATCTTCTCATCTATAAAATAATAGCACTGGACTCAGTCAGTGCTTCTACACCAGTTCAGATGAGGAAGAAGTCATGAATATCTTTCCATAAATGCAGATGCACATGACATCCACATTCAAAGATGCCATGAATTATATCACCACCACCATCCTCTCTCCTTTGTCCATGTAGAAAATCTCATGCTAATGAGAGATTCAAACAGTGAAAATAGAATTTTTCAAAGAACACATAACAAAAGCATGGAATAAAAGTAAGCAAACATGTATCTTTCTAAACACTCATGGTTAAAAGTCAGATATTTCAAAATCTACATATTTACATTTCAGATTTTCAACAATGACGCAGTTATTTTCAAAACAAATTTAGACACTGGTCAAGGGTTGGCTCAATTCAGTCTCAAAGAATTATATGAATTCTTAGTGTATCTAGTTAAGTGACAAACATTACTAATGAAGATCACTAACACAGCAGCAAGTTGGGTAGATTATTTTCTAAGAGAAGGATATATTTCTATCGTCGCCCCAATTCCAAAATTATGTGTATATCTATCTATATATAATATCAATCATCTCAATTCATTGGTGTTCCCTGATTTGAATTTCATATAGAAATAGTCTATTACTAGTAATTCCAAATAAGAATAAAACATAATAATGATTATCCAGGATGCAGCTGAGAGGCTGTGGATTAACATCTGTACTATTTCTCAATGTATCCATGCCATATTTAAATAACAAAAAGGATATTTTTTCCGTGTATTTTGTAATAAGAATTGATAATAATGATGCTTTGCATTCACTATAAATAACACATTTCATCTAAAGTTTTTATTTTCTCTTGGTTAACCAAGTTCAGTGCCTAGAAATTAACATTAGCATAAAGGGACTGGCATTTCAGTTCTTATCTAAAGAGATCCACTGCCTTAGGCATGAACTATTTGGTTTCACAAAGATGGAGGGGGAGATTTTAGAAAGTTGCAATCCAGGTATAGAAAATAGATATTCTAACTTTAATAGTTTTAAAATCAGGGTTACTAGTATTTTGAGGAGAAAATAAGTTAAAGAGTTGTCTTATTTTCCCCAAACATTGAGGTGCCTGGATTAAATGACCTGAGAATGACATTCTCAGATGAAACACGGAGCAAGGCACCACTAAGCTTGTTCTGTGTGTTGTAGTCACAAAGTGACTTTCAAGTGGCTTGAAGGATTATATAAAAGACTCTGCATTCACCAAAAGACTTTGAATTCACCATTTCAAACCTGACAATTTCAGCCTTTCATTTATCACAGTAAGTTGTTCCAAATAAGCAGTTGAATGGCCATGATCTTCAGCCTAGCAAGGGAAAGGAGCAACTCAGAAAACAATTGAGGAAAAGATTAATAAGCCCATACACCTCAATGTTAGACTTTGGACCACCTGTATTGTAATCATGGCATGCTTATTTTTTTAAAACCCCAGTCCAGACTTATTGACTACACCTGAAAAATCCAGCATCTATGAATCTTTTAGCTTAGTTTTCCAAGGGATTCTTTTGTACATTAAAATCTGAGAACTACTAATTCAGACCCTTCTGATCCTAGATCTCCATTTCATAAGAGCAGAACATCAACC